CAATTTTCATTTAATTTTTGAACAAAAACCCTTTCTTTCTGCATCATTTAGTAAAAGAATTACAGGTTTCAATTTCCCGAAAGTTATTCCCAATGAAATAAACTACCCTCCTCCTTGGACCATAAAACTCCCCACATGTAATACAAATCTTCTACTGTATCCTAAATATGATACTTCATCACATATAATTCTACAACGGTTTCAAGCGATTAAAGACAAGTACAAAAGATATTACCAAATATATACAGATGCGTCAAAAACTTCTGAAATGAAAACGGTAGGCGCAGCTTTCGTTGACGAAACAATTAAACACCAGTTCCAGCTACCTAAGGAGTACTCCATATATTCCGCCGAATTGTATGCCATATCCAAAGCCTTACAACATATATCAAACCAGCCCAAATTGGAAGCAGTCATTTTCACAGATTCTTTAAGTGCAGTACAAGAAATATTAAGGGTTTACCCAAACCACCCAATACTATGCCAAATTAAAATTGATCTCGAAGAACTTTACAGTAAGAATAAAAGGGTAGAATTTGTTTGGATTCCATCTCATGTAGGCATAATAGGTAATGAAAAAGCTGATCGGGAAGCTAAAGAAGCCTGCTATACGAATAAACAAGATAAAGAGCTCCCAGAAATCCCTCTTTCCGACATTAAAAACACCATCAAAGAATTTTCAATGAGAATATGGCTCGAGAGATGGAAAAAACTTGACGACAACAAACTAAAACGCATCAACCCAGATTTGTCACCAAAAGGGATAATGCCACAAAAACGACGAGATCAAGTCATACAACATCGCTTAAGAATAGGACATACCAGGTTAACCCACCAGTACCTAATGAAGAAAGAACAACAAAAACTGTGCTATGTTTGTGATATTCCTCTGACAATCGAACACATTATTGTTAGTTGTCCACTCTATCACCTGGAACGACTTCAAAGTGATTTACCAAGTGATCTGAAATGTGCTCTGAACTATAGTATCTATGATAAAGTGTCTAAGTTTCTAAAACTAACTAAATTGTACAATCTAATATAAAAAATAGACTTAAGTTATCAATTGTAAATGGTAGTTATAAGCAAACATCTAATTTCATGTACAACTCTTTCCCGCCAATAACCTTTCATGGTTGACGCGGTTTACTTAATAAAAAAAAAAAAAAAAAAATGTAACTTTTTTTAAAATTATATATGCCATTTTAATAAAGTGCCGGGATTATAAACGTAAATTATTCACTATCGAGATATCGGTACCTGCTCTGCCACTTTGTGATTGAAATATGTAACTACATCAGATCAACGTATTATCTTAGTTAAATAATATTAAATTTATATTTACGTTCATCAGATGAACTACTCAACAAAACCATATATAAGTATGTCTTGTAAATCGTGTAAGATAATGCAACAATGCAACCTTGATCATTTTTGTATTTCATACATAATTTTTAAATTTCATTTTAGTGAATACTGTGCACTCCTAAAATTATATCGTTTTTTTTATTCAGACAAGAATATCGTATTAACTGTAACTGTAAATATTGTGGGACTTATTACAGACCTCTGAGTAGTACGATTCTCTTGAACATAAATAGTACAAATACAATTATTTGCGTTTGTTTGAAAAATTCTTTGTTTTAAAAACATTTAGATGTAAGCTAAGGTATGACCTGTCAGATTACAGAAATGTGGCTTTTCTAGAATATTATAGTATACCTCCAACATTATGTTGAATGCTCGTTTTTGGTCAACAGTTATAGCAATGCATAATTGATTGCAAACGCCTCATAAATTCCGCTCTCGGATATTGTCGATAACAGAATAATATTTTCGAAAGCCATTTTATTCCGTTATGAAAACATTTTATTTTTCACAGTAGTTTCATAAAGTCCACAGTAGCTTTATTATCCAGATTTAGCCATACTGCTCACATTCCCTCTAAGGGGAAAATTCACTTATCCCAGATACCTACGCTATCAAAAGGATTGAGCTCTGGTGGGACTTTTTCCATGTTATCGAGTCCTAGGTGACTTGGTACGTCGGTGTATCTCCCAAAAATTTTTGCATGCAATTGGACGTCGAAAGTAGCACAGCTTTCTGCATGATCTTATATAGATTTTCATTTAGGCCCAGCTTTTTCGACTTCTGACTTGAAGACCAACTTCTGACTTTAATATTTTGGGTAGGGTTCACTTTTACATCCACTTTCAGAGTTTCTTCTAGTGTTGTCTGAGTATAGTTGCTGTGTGTAGTTTCTCCAATGATAAAGTAGATTGTTGGGATCAGTAACTAATTTATTGTCCCTTACAATACTGTTAAAACTGCAAGGTTTTGTATGACCTGTCACTTCTTTAACGAGTTTATGTATGCTAAAGTGATCATGTTTTTCTTCCAATTCCTCCATTTCTGCACACATGTCTAGCAGCCACTGTTCTTTAGCTTTGCGACACTCTTTTCGTATTTGTCGGTTAGTCTGCTAATGTTTGGTTCGGTCTTTGTTTTTAAATGATCTGCGGTCGTTCATCATTGATAATATTTCGCCAGTAGTCCAATTCTTCTTTTTGTACTTTTGGAAAGCGATCAGAGATTTGGTGGTGGCTACGATAACTTTTTTAATACAATTCCATTTGTCTTATATACTGGCCGGTTGTTTAGATCTTGCCGTGATATCCGCTATTGCCTCAAATAATTTTTCTGTGACTTTTAATTTAACGTTAGGTTGTTTTAAGATGTTTATATCAATTTTTTTATGGATTTTCTTTTAATTTTTTTAAGCATAATTTTCAATTTTCCTACTACGCGATTGTGGTCAGATCCGATATCTCTAATTAATCAATAAAAAATCAATTAGATTTCTTACTATAATGTTATGCGTATGTTGTGGAGGCTGCAAGGTGTAGAGTCTCCGAGGTGGCAGTTTGTACCAGGTATTCACAATGACTAATTTTTCTGCATGACAGAACTGGATTAGCATATCACCTCTCTCGTTTCGATCTCCCAAACCAAAGTCATCCACGACATCTTTAACACGTCCTCGCCTTACCTTCGCATTGAAATCTCCCATTATTATAAGAGTCTGGTTCTTCTTGGTCAGTTTCATTAACTCCTTAATCTCTCTTTACAATTGTTTTACTTCATTTTCAGGCTTGTCCAATGTTGGTGCATAGATTTTTATAATGTTAAGGTCAACAGGATAGGCTGGGACTTATAGTAGTGCTGCCCTATCTGAGTATGCCACGAAATTCCTTACTGATTCGTTTGAGGCTGTGTTAACTAGAAATCCAACTCCGTTATAATGACGGGGTAGGTTATTTCCTAAGTAATATAGTATAGCTTTTTCTTATTTTACCACTGTTAGGCCATCTGATGTCGCTAAGTCCTATGATGTCTAGGACATTTGTTCCATTTCTTGTATTATGTTTATGGCGGTTTAAAGACTTTTAACGTTCCAAGTACACAGTTATAGCTTTTGGGGGTTTTTCCACTTTCGGATGGTTCCTAGCATTGTTTTTCTTCGCAAATATTCTTAGCAACCGTTGACCACTTAAGGCCTGCCACGGAATAGGGGCCGTTGCTAGCAATGTCTTTTCCAGAATTGTCTTTCTTGGGATATCCTTGGAGACCTTTAATACGGTGGTTTCCCATTGCCTTCCGTATTCTTATGCCGTTGACATCCTTTGTTCGTCCGTCTTTTAGAGACAGTTTCCCACCCTAAGGACAAAAGAGTGTCCAAAAATCTGAGGTCGCCACTGCCGCCATTCTCGTCGTACCGAAGATATCCTTCTCCGCCTTGATTGCCGTTGTGGTCTTCATCCGTAACCCTAGACAAGGGACCCTAAACAGGTACTAGTTCCCCGGGTCAGGGACCACCGGGAATCTGTGGAGGGCAGAGACTGATTAATTTTCCCTGATAGGACTGTCCAAGAAAATCCAAGGAGTTTCTACCCACTACCCATATTAATAATAATATTAATATTAATAAATAGTAAATATATTTAAAAAATGAATACGTTTATTCTCGAGAGAGAAAGAGAGAAAATATATCTTCTGTCTCACTCTTAGCCATATCTTACATATGTAATGATTTTGCCGATTCACTCCCGTACAAATTTTCAGCGTCGAACGGGCGTATAGAAGTATAACTTTAAAAAATGTTTGTGAAAGATAAAAATAAAAAATCTACAACTCGGATCATGTTGTATATTTTCATTTTAATTTAAAATTTAGCATTTTTGCGTATATTACATATACTTAATAAGAGTAACGTGAGGTTTTTAAATATTTCAAAAATAAAAAAAGAAAATTCATATTGGGATTCGAACTTACATATTACCAGCTTTTGAAAAAAAAAAAAAAACACGTAAAAAACTTCCCAATTAGATATGACAGTAACGTATTTCAAAATTGACAGTTCTCGGTCATACAGTGATTTATTGTAATTATTATTTTGAAATACAAAAGCCTAAAATAATAATTATTAAAATATATATTATTATTATTAATATTAAGATATATTATATAATATATTTAATATTAAATATATATATATATATATATATATATATATATATATACAAATAGAACATTTTTATTCTCGAGAGAGAAAGAAAGAGAAAATATATCTTCTGTCTTTTTCTTTCTCTCTCGTCTCGTCTCTAAAGTCTAAATTTTTTGAAAAAAAAATTATTGTAAGATTAAAGATTGATACTTCATTTTAAAGCTAAACTTTAAATATAAATATACTATAATTTGTGTATTATAATTTTTTTTCTCATTGTTTTTTTTTTATTTCAGATTAACGTGGAGCGCTAGATGTAATAATAGAACTTCAACTGGACCAATGAAATTTAACGTATTCATTTCCTTTTATTTAATTAGTTTATGAACGTGGGACTAACACGACGCGGATATGCGATACACTAAATAAAATATTATTGTTTATAGATATCAAAAACACTAACTACTTATGAAACTAGATAAATACTTTGTAAATAATGACTCTTAAAGACCAAACTTCACCTTTCGTTTCCCTCTCAACACTTCCTATTTCTTTTTCTACTACAGAATCTCCTACCGAAGTAGCCAATAGTTCATCTGTTACTGGCCCTATAGAACTCGCAATTACGATACTTAAACCAATTACAACTTTAGAAACTGACGAACTGTGGCACCCAATAGTCTTCAACGAAAATTCCAGCCGGTATTTTGACACTATCGAAAGTCTTTTGACATTTGACGCGGATAACGCAAGTGGGAATATTTCTTACAGAGACAACAGAACTATTCTTGTTAATAATGCTACAGTGCAACTTGTTTCGATGATTCTAACTGCCATTATGCTGGGCTTTATCATCTTATCTACTATTATAGGTAAGTCTTTATATTGTTTTTACTAATATATATATATATATATATATATATATATATATATATATATATTTTTTTTTTTGTATAAAACTGGTTGTGGATTATTTATTAAAGCTCTATTGTGAAAGTGAGTGTTAACACTTAAAATACCTTACATAAAAAATTTAACAGACCAAATTGTCCCACTTTTCAAAACATTTCCGAACATTAAATTAATTAAATACAATCCACTTCTAAATTCAAGGTTGTTCTCAAAAATAAAAGTTAAAACTCCAAATTCACTAATGAGTAATATAATTTATAGAATAAATTGCAGTCAATGTCAAAGTTGTTATATTGGACAAAGTCAACAGTGGCTTAAACAACGTGTCACTCAACACAAAAGTGACTGTAACTTACGAAAAAACTCTTGTGCTTTAGTGGACCACCACTTAAAGACAGGACATAACTTTGACTTTAATAATGTAAAAATCTTGGAACAAATTGATAATTACAAAACTTTTCCTGGAAATGGTACACATTAATAAAACTCCAGAATCTATCAATTATAAGACAGACACCAACCATTTAAGTAATATGTACTGTAATATACTAAACAATATATGATATGATAGATCTTAATATCAGTATCTAACAACATCAGACCAATAACTGACTACGTACCATCAATTACATTTTATAGATCAATTTACCATGTTCCTGATTCTTTCTCAATATTCTACTTTTACACCTTATTATATGGATAATACTGTCACAATTTTTAATTGTTTATTAAAACTTATTCGCTAAAAATTGTACAATGGGAATTCACTCTATAAAATATTGCGGTTACCATAACTCCCAAATAAATTAAAATCAAAAAAATGTCATTTATTTAAATTGGATATGTTACCAAAATTTAAATTTTTAATCTTAAGTTGTAAGTATTGAAATATTCATTTTGTTTACATATAATAATTATAATAAATTTACAGTTTTCTCCTGAAGAAGTCACAAAATCGTGACGAAATATTGAGAAATAACAAATAGAGTTTTATTTCATACAGACCAATTGCTGAGACTACAAATAATATATATATATATATATATATATATATATATATATATATATACATATATATATATATATATATATATATATATTTATATATATATATATATATATATATATATATATATATATATATATATATATACTGTATAGAAAATAATTTTATGCACTTAATCGTATCGAAAGAGAAACGTATCTTAGACTACATAGTAATATTAGTTACTAAAAAAAACTTCCTATAAATTTAAAAGATTTTTTTAGTGGGAGGAATCAGCTAGAATTATTGACACACTTATTACTATCGTCTTTTTAGCGTTTGAAAAATGTGCTACGACAATCAAATTTGGGCGAATTGATTTAAATGGCAACGTCTCATTGAATTTTGTATTCGCTTTTTAGATAAGTCTGGCTACAAAACGAATTGGTTTCGTAGGCGATGTTGCCAACCGTTTTGTTTTAACATTAGATTAACTGTTTTCGCCATGTTTTCCGTTTAGTTTGTTTTTCTAATGGTTTTTGGTGTCCGAATTTTAATTCCGAACTGCGTAAAAAATAATTCGTTCTAAATCGCAATGAGTCATAACCAACATGTCAAACTTACATTTATATTGAAATTTTGTCACATAAAATAACCTTATAAAAAAAGCAATATAGTTTTTGTATGCGTCAGTTACTCGACTTTTTACAGTTGCCATCACTAATTCAATCATGAGGATTTCCTGTTTACTAAAGCAATGCTTTTGACATACATACTGTAAAACATGCTAAATTGGTAGTTTAATAAGTGGAACAAGAATAGCTATTCTTTACTTATCCTTTTAGCAAGAAGTCATTGTAGAATCATTTTGGTTATGTATCTCGAAAATTTTTTTTAGATAATGAAAAGTGATACAGATTCTAATAAAACGCTTCCTCGAAAAAAAAGTTTAAAATATGAATAGTCATTTATTGCCTAGTCGATAGATTCAGAGGATAGCTGAAGAAAAGTGCAAAAGGTAATATGTATTTTTTCTCTACTGCTTATAATTGTCACAGAAAATGTTGGATTCATATTCTATTGTGTCATAAATATTCTACAAAACACCTTAACAACTTTAAAATATGAGTAAAATAGTAATCAATAACATCGATACTATATTTGATATACACTATGTGTGTCCATCTGGTGAGTTAAGCCGACAATATAGCAGTCGTAACAGTTACTAGAAAGAAAAATCAAAAGGACGGTGAATAATTCGAATAAGTATATGACAATATGAAAAAGGATAGATTTGGTACCCTAATGAAACCGAACTCCTTTAGTTGATAGGCAGCAAAAACTCAAGGGGGGTAAGAAGTCAGTGTAGAAGGATTAGAGATTAGATGGTCCCAGGACAAAGAAAAGGAGATTACTGTGCTCTGTGGCGCATTTCATACTTTTTTATAAAGTGTATGCATTGATAAAGGTTCTAAAAACTCCTACCTAAACGCCAAGAAATGCACTCCCAAAAACTTTCTCAGACCATCCCAATTAGAAATTTCCGACATCTTTTCCTACTGGCCAAACCGAGAGATATTCATTCTTAGCTTTGCACAAGTCTTAGAGACAAAAGTACTAATCTACTGTCTTTAAGTGACGTAATTTTTTGGATTTAAGTATTATTTGGTACGTTTTACACCAGTCTATTCAAAAAATCTGTGTTTGTTATCCCATGTGTGTTTGTATATCCGAGATTTATCGAAGCCTCTTCTTGATGTATGTTTCATGCTTGATCATCCTGATACTTAGTGGGCTTGCGATGTCTTCCACGTAGAAATTATTGCGTTCACAGTATATTTTACAGTTGCAGTTTTTTTGATTTTTTCTGTGTTAGGTTTGGTTTTGGACAGGATGCTCTTAGTGTAATCGTTGTTTTAATATTGTGAGGTCATACTTCCTAGACACTTTAGTTTTATTGATAAGCCTTTACATATGTTTTTTTGTCATTTCTCAGTCCCTTTTTGTGAATTTTTCTGTGTTGCTTGCAGTATTTTGTTGTTTTTATTTCAATCTTGTGAAATTTATTGTGTATAAATGACAGTTAGTAGTTATTTGTAGTTAACAAGGTCCATCACAAATTTGTTTAATGTTTCTGGTACCTAAGGCTAAATAAGAAACATATTTTCACCATACCGTGGATTTTCTTTCTTGCTTGTGTAAAATTTTTTTGTTTCATTAATCGTATACTTAAAAGTTGACATACTGGCAATATATAATTGAAAATTAAAATATCAAAGCAGTAATCCTCAAACAAGCACATATCTTCCTACCTTTTAATTTGAATGTTCATACAAAGTGTAAATATATAGTTTCAGTTGTAACAATGAAACGATGGGTGCCAATGGGTAACAATATAACTACCTTCGAAATTTGGAAGCCAATGTGTAACCTTCAATGTCTAGGCTTTCACAAATTTCAATAAAACTCACAACTTTCTTTGGGACTCAATTGTTAGGCTCCGTTTAGCTCAGTCTCTCAGGTGTGAGAACTTCTTAGCTTAGAAGTAAAAAATGAAAAATAGATTTCTCTAAGACAAATTAACTAAAATAATAACTCTAGTTTATTATACATAAATACATATAAAAATTTTAATATAAAATTAAAACCGAACAAAGTCACAAAGCAAATATTGTCTATAGGCTTTACATAAAGATTTTTAAATGATACTTAAGTATGGCTTCAGATGTTGTCTTAAGTAGCTGGACATAATTGCAGTAGAATGTAGTGATTAGATTCTGATGTAGTTGAATTTAGATATTTTGTTTTGTATAATCTGATGACCATTGGGTTTTTAAGAACAGCTGCAGTTAGTGCATGGTCAACCATATGCTGCGGAATTTATTACCTAGAAAGGTTGACAAAAATTACGCCAAAAATAACTAGAAAATTTAACCATGTGCCAACAAACTTTGAAAAAATTGAGTAAAGAATTGGGTAAAATAAAAAATAAAGTTAATAGATTAATAAAATCAATAGAAATTGGAATAAAATATTTATTTAAAGAAAAATACCAAACATGTGACGTTTATTACATTACACAGCGTTATACTAGCACTACATAATGTTAGTCTAGATAACTAACTTTAAAGTAGCAATATTACAGTGGCTTATAGCGTTCGAATATTTAATATAGCAATATTTGTCTGATGGAATATGATCACACCGTTATTGGTCAATGTGCTTCTAATTTAAACTGGAGATCATTAACATTTTGTGATTGTTGTTTTATTGCAGTTTTTTATTGTTTGACATAAATATTTGTCATTGAAGTCATAGATAGCCAATAATGAAATATTACATAATCTTTATACAATTTTAGATATGGTATTTAATAAATATTGTCATAAATCATGTAGATTTACTTTGTATTTATATTATAATTAGATATCAAGTTGTAAGTTTTACATTGAATATACAAAATTCAAATCAACAATTGTTTAAAAACGCTACAAATTGTTTATTTTTAAGGAAATTAGATATTAAATTTACTATTTCTGTTTATGTTATTAAATATTTGCGTATAAGAGAACATGGTAGTCATATGTAAAGCAACAGCCTTAAATAATGATAAGAAATAGCATTTCACAATAGCCTATACAAATGGGTAGTTTTAGAATATCACAACGTGATAAAGATACAAATTGATAGTTTTTCAATCTTAGTTTTGAAAATAGTGTTTTATATTATTATGATGGAACTTAAAATATGCTTAGCTCTGTAACGATGAGTCCAAGCCATCACCGTTAAACCAGCGTGCGCGCGAACCAACCCATGAAGTAGGAGTGTATCGACAGTAGAAAGGGCAAAACTTTGCTATATAAACCGCATTATTTCCTCATAGAGGCAGAATCGTCAGGTGTTGACTGAAGGTTCTCTTCTTCCCTACCCCGGCTTGTGGACGTGTTGAGTTCACAAGTTGTTCCATACCGCCGTTATCCGGAGAGCGTGTTGAGCTCTCCATTACCCGTACTCCGAAGCAGTCGTGTTGAGACTGTCGAGGAGTGTCCTATTAACCCGAATCACTTAAGGGACGTGTTGAGTTCCTTTCTTTTCTTTGTACCTATCGTCCGCTGTTATTAAATCGACACATCGTTCACGTAAAATTCCGAAAACACACTCGATTGCCGATAAAACTTCATACGACAAGGTCAAACTTAATTTGAATAAATAGGCCAGGTACTGAGAGGACTAAACTAAATTGTAAATATGTACATAAGATTTTTGTCAATTTAATTTAAGGAAGACAATAAAGTTTTATTTTTATTTTGAACTCTGTCTCTGACTGTCCAAAAGCTACCCGGATAGTGACTCCTACGAGAGGACGTCACAAATGGCGCCCGAGCAGAAAAATTCGTTTTAAACAATAATACCGACCGAATTCCGAATTTTATTTTCATGAGACAGTACTACATTTCAAATTTTGTTCAAATACAGGGTGATTCACAGTTCAAAAATGACAGACGCTCCGGAAACGTCGAAGGTCAGTTGGGTGTACCTATTAAAGAAAGACGAACTTATAGCCGAATTAACAAACAGAGAACAGTCGACGGAAGGGAATTTCAGCGAGCTAAGAGCGAGATTAGATGCGATCATCAAGGCACCAACTCAAAAAGGCCAAAACCCAGAGGAAATAGAAGAAAACCAGATGGAAGACAGACAAAGAAAGATGGAAATAGTACGCAAATGGGGGTTACACTTTGACGGTTCAAGAGACCCAATAGAATTCATAGAACGGTTGAAAGAACTCCAGACAGCTTACGGCCTACAAGATACCCACGTCTTACAAGCTCTACCAGAAACATTAAACGGGAAAGCATTACTATGGTACAGAAACAATAATAAATATTGGGACGAATTAAAAGACTTCGAACAAAATTTCCGCAATTTCTTCGTTTCCTCCGTTCTCACGCAATCTCTGGAAGCTCAAATCCGGAACCGACTCCAACGAAACAACGAAGGTGTAAAAGACTACATCATTGATATTCAAACAATGATCAGAAGACATGGTGAATTCAATCACCAAGAAGAACTAAACAGGATATACACCAATATGAACCCGAAATACAAGTTGTATATAAAGAGGCAAGACGTATCGTCAACACAGGACATCATCAGACTAGCGGAAGAATATGATATGGTCCAAAAAGAAATATATAACAGAAACAATACAAGGTGTGACTGGACACAGGCAAATAGTCGTAATAACAAAATACAGAATTTCGACAGACAGACTTGTTGTTGGAGATGCGGCCGCAGAGGCCACAATAGAAGAAACTGCAGAGCTATCGCTGTACTCTTCTGTAGCCACTGCGAAACCCGAGGAACAACTTCCAATAATTGCCAATGTAGAAGCCGACCGGAAAACTCCAACAGGACTGGACAAGAAGGAGGCAACCCAGTCAGCATTGAGAGTCCTCCCTAACAACCTCCAGCTACGCACACTATAAAGATCAACGACCCCACACAACGATAACGTTCAGCAACGGTAAAAAGTTAAAAGCACTAATAGACACAGGAGCCCAAAATTCGTTTATAGGACAAAAAGGTAGAAAAATATTGGAACAATGTGGAACAAAAAGCGACAGAAAAGCTTTAAAGATCACGCTGGCAGATGGAAAAACCAGCAACATAGAAATCTGTTTTACAGCAAAATGTTCCATAGACAACGTTTGGAGAAAAGCCAAGCTACACTTTTTACCAAACCTAGCTTCAGAAGTAGTACTGGGAATGCATGAAATAACAAGATGGGGCCTTGATTTATCAAACATCTTAAATAGAAATCGCGTAAGAAGGAGAGAACAATACCAAACCAGGACAGAACACAGATCCAGATCGTACAATGCAGACAATAACCGAATACCGACCAATTCCAGGGTCAACGAAACACCAACCGCAAGATATCCGCTCCAACAGAGAAGCAAGATATATAATAAAACGACCTACCGACTACCGACCGATACCGCGGTCGAAGACCAGACCGAAAATATACCGACTACCGACCGATACCGCGGTCGACAACCAGACCGAAGATATACCGAACTACCGACCGATACCGCGGCCGACGACCAGACCGAAGATATTCCGTCATACATACCGGAATTCACGAACAGTCTGAAACGAGAGCAACTCGACATCAGTACTCCACTAAACAATACCGAAAAAAAACAATTACAGGAATTGTTACTAACAGAATTGGAGAAATTTAAACAAATTAAAGGAACAACACATCTAACCGAACATACAATAAAACTCAAACATAATACACCGATCAAACAAAGATACAGGCCCCGAAACCCGGCAATGCAGAAGATCATAAACGATGAGATAGATAAGATGCTAGAAGAGAACGTGATAGAAAAATCTAATAGCCCGTACAGTTCCCCCATCGTCCTAGTAAAAAAGAAGGATAACAACGGATACAGATTTTGCATCGATTTTAGGAAAATCAACGACATCTCAGAAAAAGATGCCTACCCATTACCGTACATCAATCATATCCTAGAAAAGTTAAAATCTGCAAAATATTTTACCACGTTGGATCTAAAAAATGGATATTGGCAAGTACCACTTTCCGAAGCAAGCAAACCCTTGACCGCTTTCATAGCACCAGGAAAAGGACTATTCCAGTTCAAAGTACTTCCATTCGGATTACACGCCGCCTCCGCTACTTTTCAACGATTACTAGATACAATAATCGGCCCAGAAATGGAACCACATGCATTCGCCTATTTAGAAGATATAAAAGTACTGGGGAAAACGTTCGAGGAACATATGGAAAACTTAAAAGAAGTACTTCACAGACTACAGCAGGCCAAACTACGAATTAATATAGACAAATGTAAATTCTGCAAAGAAGAGATAAATTATTTAGGCCATGTAGTAAACAAAACGGGAATAAAAGTGGACGAAAACAAGACAAAAGCTATAGTCGAATATCCCGCGCCAAAGACCGTTAAACAACTACGCCGATTTTTGGACATCATCTCATGGTATAGGAGATTTATAAAAGATTTTTCACGAGCTACGGCTCCTTTAACAAAGCTACTAAAGAAAAAACAACATTGGACTTGGGACAGAGACCAAGAGGAAGCATTCAACAAAATAAAATTACTACTGACACAAGCTCCAATACTGATCTGCCCGGACTTCCAGAAAAGATTTTTTTTACAATCGGACGCTTCGAACCACGGTTTAGGAGTAGCTTTAGTACAAACAAACGACGAAGGATAGGAACAAGTCATCGCTTACGCAAGTCGAAACCTAACAAAGGCCGAAAAAAATTACAGCGTGACAGAAAAAGAACTACTAGCGATCATCTTCGGTGTATGAAATAACAGATGAAAAGAAAAGATGAAACCCTACATCGAAGGATACCCATTTTCAATTATCACAGATCATCAAAGTCTACGATACTTACAAACAATGGAAAACCCTACAGGTAGAATAGCTAGATGGGCAATGCTGCTGCAACAATTTGACTTCGATGTCATTTACAGAAAGGGCTCCCAGAACGTCCTGGCCGACGCGCTCTCTAGAGAACCAGTAGATCTGGTTTGCTTAATAAACGTAGAAGATGTAGAACCCGACGAATGGTACAATAAAGCTTTAAATAAAATCCAGACAAATCCGCAACTATTTCCAGACTACTCTATCAAAGATGGACTTCTCTATCGACACTTCTGGGACAAACACGATTTAAAAGAGACAGAGGTATCCAACCCCTGGAAACTATGCATCCCAAACCACAAGAGACAACAACTCCTGGCAGAAAACCACGAGCAACCGACCGCAGGACATCTAGGAATAGCTAAAACAATAACCCGCCTAGCTAGAGAATACTACTGGCCAGGGATGTTTAAAGATGCCGCAAAGTTCGTCAGGAACTGCAAGAACTGTCAGCAATTTAAGCCGCAACAAAGCTTAACTCCAGGCCGCATGCAATCTACACAAATTCCCCCACATCCATGGCACACCGTTTCAACCGACATCATAGGACCCCTTCCAACATCCAGCAAAGGAAACAAATATATAATGACATTCCAGGACACCTTTTCAAAATGGGTCGAAGCCATACCGATCAGAACAGCAACGGCAAAATCAGTCTGTCAGAACTTAAAAGATAAAATCATTATGAGATTCGGATCACCCAAAGAGCTAATATCAGACAACGCAAGAACATACGATAACAGGGAAGTACGAAAGTTGCTAGACGAATTCCAGATTTCTAAAAGAAACATTCCGCCATATTCACCCCAGAATAATCCAGTAGAAAGAACAAACAGAGTAATCAAAACAATGATAGCTCAGTTCTGCGATAATAACCATAAGAAATGGGACACGAGCCTTCCAGAACTACTATTCGCATATAATACAGCTAAACACGATTCAACGGGTTTCTCCCCAGCCTTCCTGAACTTTGGACACGAACTAGAAATTCAAAGTAAAGTCGTAAAAACCCCAAACGACACACAACATA